GGTTCCTAGGTCAGCATCTGCCCTGGGAGCCTTGCTGCCGAACTAGGGAGTGAGCTGGAGGCACCAGCCACGGAGGTGGTGATGATGGGAGCTCCTTGGTGGGTGAGCTGCGGCTTGGGATGGGGGGACCTGGCTGGTGTGGGCTCTGCCACTGTTTGCTGTGGTCCCAGTAGCAAGCTGCAGCTGTGCCTGTTGAGAGGCTCATCACCTCTTCCAGCAGGCAGCACAGGGTCATTCCCGATACTGTGCACCTTCAGATGCTGCCCAGGCTGTGTGAGTTCACCTCCACCCCCTTCTCTGTTTCCTGAAGTGAAACACCTGAAGAAACCTCAGCCAGACCAGGGCTTCAACCTTCTGCAGGAGCCAGATGCAATCCCAGTGTGCAGCGATGGTGAAGAGCAAGACCCTGTGGTCCGTGGGGCTCCCAGCAGAGGTTTACATCTTTGCTTGCTGCCACAGAGGGTGGGGACAGGGGAGCAGTGTGCAGGACAGTGCAGGCCAAGCCCAGCAAGAACAGAAAAGATGATCTTTAACAATAAATGTACCCTGCTGATCTACTAGCTTCTTTCAGCTGTATTTTGCACTTGTTTCACTTTTCTTTTGAGTCCTGCTGCATTCCCTAGCGCTATGGCTTCATTGCATGGAGTGATCCTACAGCCAAAGCAACTCTTGCAGGACTCCTTTGCGTGTGATCACTCAGAGCTGTTGCACAGGCACTGAGAATATGCACATAGGTTCACATATAGTTTCTAACTGGGTCAAATGGCTTGTTTAGGGGTTTTTTGAGTACTTTTTTGCTTTAGATGTGCATGACCATCCACTGAGCTGGCCCTGCACAAAACACTGCAAGGAAGAGAACTTGTAGGTTGCCTTTAATAGGATGGCTTTAGTGTCTTTCAGAATAAACACAGCAAACTCCTTGCTGGAAGCACAGGTGGAAGGCTGTCCTGGCTGGCTCCTGGCATGCCACGAGCACTGGAGCCTGTCACTGGGCACCCAGCTCTGCCGGCAGCTCGGGTATCTCAGGTGGGCAGACCCCTACTCACCCTTTTCTGACAGGGATGATATTGGCAAAAGCGGATGTTTGAAGACTGGGAGGTTTGTCAGGGCAGTAGTGCCAGATCATGCAGCTCCCTGGTGAGCCTGGGGTGGAACACGGGGCTTGGGCTGGCGTGCAGACCTGTGAGAAGAGCTGCGGAAGATCCTTCCCACCAAGGAGGTTCATTCCTGGCTGCCAGAGCGGCAGGACTGCAGACCATTGTTCCCATGGCAGGGTTATGTTCCTGATTGCCTAGCAGGTCCCCAGACCCTTCCTGGGACACTTACTGTTGCTTCTGCAGAATGACCCGTCGGAAAGCAGTGAACCTGACAGACATCAAGGTGAATGACACGCAGGAGTTCATTCGGATGAAACCCCACCAGGAAGGCAGCCTGGAAGACATGTGGCAGGTCAGGTAAGGGCAGCTCTGGGGGAAAGCAGAGTTTGCTGGTGGGGCTGAAAGAGATGCCTTTTTTTTTAAACTTAAGAATATAGAAAACTGTCCCAATTTTGTGCAGTAAGCAGCCCCCTTGGGGACTGCTGGAGCTCTCTAGTGCCCCGAGGATTTTGGTTCACGTGTATTCTCACCAGAGGCTTGTTCCTGTGCAGGGCCAGCTGTGAATCGGGTCGAATTGTGGCTCTGAAGTGCTCAGGTGAGCATCCCTCTCCTCTCCCGTGTCCCTAAGATCTCCGCCTGGATGTAGCAGTTTCTTTGCTTCCCTTGCCCTCCAGTGTGAGGGTCTGACAGCTGGCGCCTTGCCTAAGACGAGCTCCCCGGCTGCCTTGCAGAGTGTGGGCTGCACCCCGGTGCTGCGTGTGTGGTTGGGGGGACAGCCGTATCCCCTGGGCGCTGGCCCTGGCAGGTGAGCCTGTACCACGGCTCCCAGCACCGCTGCGGAGGCTCCGTGCTGGCGTGCGAGTGGATCGTCACGGCGGCTCACTGCGTGCACAGGTACCTCCGAGGGCTGTGTGTTGCTCTTACCCTGGGCCTTGGTGCTTGTTGCCCTGAAGTAAGAGGCACGCTGTATTTCTGCTCAGTTACAGGCAGCTCCAAGCCTCCACCTGGCTGGTTTTCGCAGGCTTTACCACCCATGGCTTGATCAAGGAGGAGGCGGGGGTATCAGTAAAGAAAATAATTTACCACCTGCTTTATAATGACAGTAGCCTCGACTACGACATTGCTCTGATGAAGCTCCAAGTCCCCCTGAATTTCTCAGGTAAGATGCTGTTGTGATGTCATTGTGTCCTTCTCCCATCTGTGGAGTTGTTTGTCTTACCCCACAATTAAGAGATGGCCAAAACCTAGCCTGTTCTGAACCTGCTGTTTCAGAGCAGCTATTTAAGGATATCCAGCCTGGCACCTGGGAGGCATGATGCACAGCAGCGTGGTGGTTTGAGCCATGCCAGAGCTGTGAATTACTGGGAAGATGGCTGCGGGACCTGGTCTCCAGAGCGCCTGGCCCGAGAGCCTTTCACTTAGCGTGCCCGGCTGAGTGGCTCTGCAGGCCGGTAGCTCCGCAGCCCTTCCCTGCCTGCTTGTGATCAGCGCAGCACGAAGCCGTCCCCGCTGGCCTGGCATTTACCCTCTCACCTTCTTACCAGATGCTATCCGTGCTGTGTGCCTGCCACCCCCCCAGCAGCACCTCTTCCAAGGCACGCAGTGCTGGGTGTCCGGCTGGGGCTATACCAGACCAGACCAAGGTAAGCTCCCATCTTGTCCCTGCTGCTCAGCCCTGACCAGAGGCTTTCCCCTTGCTCCCCACTGGCCCTGTCAAGCCCCTTCCAAGCGGATCTTGCAAATGCTCCCTCCTCCTTAATCCCACCCCTGCTCCAGCAGCTCTGCACCCCATATCCACAGCTCCTGTGCGCCTAGCCATATTTAATCCCATCTTCTGACTTCTCCATGTAGTGACCTTCTCTTCCTCTCGTGCTCCCTGCAGATCTTGTTTCCCTCTTGGCTTCTCTTTCTCCCTCCTCAGCACAGGTCACCGAGACACTGAAGGAAGCACTCGTTCCCTTAATCAGTACCAAGACGTGCAATAGTTCGTGCGTGTACGCAGGCGAGCTGACTGCCAGGATACTGTGTGCCGGCTACCTGCACGGGAAAACAGATGCGTGCCAGGTAACCGAAGGGAGCGAGTGGTGCGTGCTGGGTGTGCGCAGCAGGTGTGGAAAGGACAGGTGTCCCCGTTATGCTCTGGAAAACAGTGGGTTTTGTGGCAATAGCTTGCAGTAAACAGTCTGTGCAGGGTGTTACTGGGCCCACAGCATCTTGCAGTGCAGCGTGGAGCCCGCAGTGCCCTGCTGCATCGATGCTGGGCTGAGGTTTGGCTATCTGTATGGAAGGAACATGAAGACCTTGCAGGGAGGCACACGCTGCTGCGTGTCCCCACGTTTCAGGTTTGTGTACAGGCAACGGAACAAAGCCATGTGGGAGAAGCCAGCCTGATCTGCATCCCAGCCACCAGCAGGGCAGAGCTGCTTCACCAGTCCTTGCTCCGTCTCACAGGGCGACAGCGGGGGCCCCCTGGTTTGCCAGGATGAATTGGCATGGCGCTTAGCAGGCATCGTGAGCTGGGGCCGGGGCTGTGCGGAACCCAACCACCCTGGGGTTTACACCAATGTGGCTCAGCTCCTGCCATGGATTTATCGCACCACTGAGGTAAGCTGGAGCAAGCAGAGGCGTGTGTTCAGCCTGACCTACAGCCACACGTGTTGCAGAGACAAATCCCAATGCTAGCACCCTGTTTCAACTCTTTCCTTCACTACCTTGCCCTGACCCTTGACGCATGACAACCTCTTTTATGGTACTGATTGCTTTTTCGGTTTTTGTTTTTGACTAGATCTACTAGAAATAAGGCAAGGAGAGATTTGCCCTTTGCCCTGTCTCCATAGTAAGTGGAGAACGGTCCAGGACTACTTCATGCTGTGTTACTGTAACCCTAACAGAATCCCCAGACAATACTAGGAAACATGCTCAGTATAAATAGTTTATTAAAGAAAATAGCAAATTACATTTCCGTGAACAATCCACGTGGGAGAAGTGGCGTTTTTCAAAACACGTGGTTTTCTGGATTGCTGTGTCTAAAGGGGCAGGGGATCCCACATGATGCAAGTGTTACGGGAACACTCTCAGCCTTCAGATAAATTACTTGGAGGGGAAGAAAAGGAAAAGCTAGAGTTCTAAGTGGCAGTCAGCTTCCGCTTCAATACCTCCCTTCCCTGCTACATTCCCACTTGCCGGACTCAGTCTGACTGTCAATTTGCCTGTGTTTGTCCCCCTCCCTGTACCAGTTAAAGCCAGAAACAGAAGGGTCTCCTCACCACCTGCCCTGGCTGCGCTCGGCCGACCCAGCAGGTAGAATGGCTGTTCAGTTCCGCACTGACTTAGGTGTAATGAGAAAGCCAGCTGTGATTCAGGCCCTGCACAAATCCTTGGAAACGTGAACAGAAATCAGAGAAAAGTGCACATGGGTACCGCAGTACATAACAGATTAAAACATTAAGCTCTGTGACTGAAACTTTCATAAGCAGGTTGTATGCACTACATGGTAGGAAATACTTTGTTCCACGTGTGCAGCACCTGGCACATCTTGCTCTCTGGGCTATGTTTCAATAAATGCTCTTGGTGAGTTTTTAAAAGAAATGTATATTTGTCAAAGTCTCAGACATAGCCTTTTGTAACTTAAAAGATAATGCTATGAGTGCACATTCCATTTCCTTTTTATATTCGTTTACATTTCTCATTCTTAAAGGACAGGAAATTTACTACCAGAGAGACAACAGCTCCCAGACATTCTAGTTCACACAACAAAAAGGTAAAGGAAGGAGCTGAACTGGTTTCTACAGTTAGTGAACTGAGATTGAAAAACTCCACGTCAATTTTAAGACATTTTCCATGAGAAATAAAGCCACAAGGAACTTTGCCACTTGTGCCAAACCCTGTGACTTGGTTAACAGTTCACACGGAACAGGATTCCCCCCCTCTCAAATTTTCACTCTCTCGAGCTCTGCTCTTCATGGAAACCTGAGTGAGGTGGGAAAAAGCAAAGTTTGGCACTTCAGCATTCTTAGGAGGATGTTAAAAGCTATCAAAGTCTGTGGACTTCGTATGTAATTTGCAGGGACAGCAGAGGTAATACACTAAGGGGCTGAGGTAAAACTGCATAGATAAGATTTGCTATTGAGGAAAAAAGATCCCTCTACCAGCCCCTTAAGCAAGCAAGCTTGAGATGATGTTATACAGCACCTTGCGTTAGAGGCCCATCTGACAGCAGTGCCTCACGGCGATGTTGGATACAAGATTTATTTCCCTATGCGGGGCTTAACAACAAGATGAAATCCTAGAGAGGGGAAACTAGCAAACGTCAAAAAAAGCATTTCTTCTTCACCAGCACTGTACACCCACCAGCTCATGAAGGAGAACCTGGATCTGGGCAGAAGATCTTGGGGGAGCATGGCAGGAGATAGTGACTTTTCAAGCCCAAACTTCATCTGCCTGGCAGATGGAGCATAAGTAGTTAGTGTCTTTGTGATGCCCACCTTTCATTTTTCTAGTCCCAGACTCTCAGAGCTATCCTCTTTGCCCTACAGACACTGAGCTAGGAAACATTTCTTCTCCCTCAGTCAAGCCTCCAGGAAGCACTTGCCCAATGCTAACTTTTTTTTATACCAGTACAAATAAGCAGGGTCAAATCTCAAAAAATATTTGAAAGACTCAGTTTGCTCTTGCTTTATCAGAAGATGCAACATGGAGGAGTAAACACAGAGTTACTTAATTTTGGCTAGTGCTGCTGCTCTCCTTTCTGTGTTCTGGAACAAGGCTCGGATCAGACTCTTCACTTCAGCTGCGGAGAATTCAGCTGCAAGAGGCCCCTTCCCATCTGCCCACCTACATGGGAGAGAAAGATCTTTACTTAACCAAACTGCACAGAAATGTCATGTTAAAACAAGCTGCCTGAGCACTCCTTACACTAGTAAGTCTGAAGGCAAAACAAATCCAGCTAGTAGCTTTTCAGCTGTATGCCACTTGAGTCCACAACTGTTTAGCTAGGTGTATAAAGCAACAGGTTGTGAGGCAATTTTTGCCCTTATTACAAACTGTACCTTTTTCTTCTCCAAAACAGGCCTCCAGCCGGCCTGTAAAATGCCCATTCACCTCCCAAACAACAGGAAAAAAAGTGGTTTATGCCCAGGTGGAAGCAGAGTTGGGAACCGCTGGTGTCTAGCACAGCTCCAACAGCAGCAACAAGCAGGGCACAGAAAAGGAACTGCCTTTCCTGTATGCCTTCTCCATGGCTCGTACCTTTTCAGTTTAGTCTGCTGAGGACAGGATGTTTTCTTGCCATTCAAGCGTGCGTGCAAGGCAGCTGTGAACAGGGAATGTCTAGCTTCTGACACCCCATGCCAACTAAAGTAACAGAAGTAATTATGCAAATCCTCATGTACAATTCAGATGAATCTCCCTTGCAAGTTAAAAGCAGCAAGAAACAGGATCTAAAAAGCAGAGACCAATTGTGTTGAATGACTACAGCAGCAAGGCACAGCTAACATCAAAAGCAGTAGGCAAAAAGCCAGGCTGGTTACCATGAAATACTTCTGAACCTGGAGAAGCCAGGGGGGATGCACAACCGCTCCGTGGTCAGCCCTCCCATGACACTTGCTTTTTTTACCATTGCCCTTCCCTTTGCACGAGGCAGATGAATATATGAGCGAGCCTGAAATGGACTATAAACACAGAGCCGAGAAAGAGCGCCAGGAGCAGTTATCTGATCCTTATTAACGGTGTTTGCCTTTCATGTGAACAGAGTCCCCCGAGTGCAGCGCCCTGTTGATGTCAGACCACTGCTGAGCTCCCTGCTATCGGGCTGAAGAACCAACAGCAAACGAGGAATGGAAGAAAGGAAGACACCTACTGGTCTACTATTTCTTGGAGGTTGGCTTGCAAGATGATCATCAGCTCTTTGAATGTCATCCATTTCTGCACGTAGACCGGAACTTCCTCTTGGTATTTCTTATTTTTGTCTTCTTCGGCTAGTGGGGTGAAAACTTGGGGTCCCTCCTCCACCATGGTCCTACAGAGGGAGTACAACCTATCTGCATCTTCAGCAGAGATATCCTAGAATTGAAAAAATGTTAACAGGGGAGCAGTTAGATATATTTTTGGAGTGCCGAGCAGCAAGGTAAGTGGAAAAAAGGGTGTCTGCATGTGTGAAGATGAAAGCGGTGGTTTAGATCGCGTTGAATGTTCTCAAGCTAATACAACTTCATGAATAGTTATGTCAGCAAGTTCTAGTAATTGCCTCAGAACAATGGTTGTGCTTCTGAACAGGGCATTTTAGTGCGATAGCAAGCATTTCACTGTGAAGCAGAGGTGTTACAATGAAGGTCTGAACAGTTTACAAGCAAATTGCTCAGGCATTGCCAGCCCAATGACGAAAGCCAAGCTTCTGGGCAGGCACAGCCTGAACAAGTGTCCTGCGGACTAGCCGATACAGGAAGAGGACTTATTGGCCTAATGTACAGCAGGAAGGCTTTTGGATGTAGCCTGCATCCAGAGCAGATGCACTGACATATTTCTGTCATTTGCTATGAAAACATATTTTAATTAAGAAATGTAATAGGATAGTCGTACTTGACTCAAAGCAATCTGACAGTCACTTAAACGCAGTACTAGGAGTCAAATGGAGGTTTAAACGGGTAAGAATTTGGATTTGAAGTGCCATGGGAATTTTGGCATCTGGTGCCTAGATAGGATGGAGAGGTTCATTAGAGATGCACAGATTGAAAAGGGATCGGAATAGCTGGGAGTTTGAGACAACAGTTAACGCAGGTGCCCCAAACAGAGAGATCGATTCATAGAACTGTTTATAGTAAGAGTGACACACCTAAGTCCGAACTAAGATGAGATCATGGCTGCTTCCCTGATTCTCCCCTTGACTACAGAGTCATGGTATCACTGTAAGAGTACATATGGTCTCACCTGGATGCGAGTTATTGGTATCTTGAACATTTCTCATAGAGAGGACCACAATTATGACTTCTGTGAAAGATAACTGTTCCCCTGAAACCTGATCTTGGAAAGAACTTCTAGAGGTCCCCAACGCTAGCTGTTTCCACCACCCTATACCTGGCGTGTCCATCTCGCGCAGTTACCTCTAGGGCAGTGATCCTAGTGACAATCTCTGTGAGAGCTGTGTTCAGTAAAGTCCCCATAGCCTTGCAGTATACGTTCACCGGAAGGACATCTTGCCAGACTTTTCCCAGTCTTTTCAACTGATGCAATACCTGGAAAATACCAGCTCTGCATTATCGACATGTTGTCAAAAAGAACATCGAGAGACACCAAATGATAAGGTGACTACGCACAGGAACAGAGAAACCAGTCTGAAAGAAGCAAAAGGCAATGAAGCATCCTGCTGTCGCATAGCGCAGACATTCCTGGGAAAAAATGCAACAATTTCAGTTTGCATTAAGGCTCATTAAAAGCGTGATGGATCTTTTCCTTGAAAAACGCTAAACATTATAAACATACTGTAAACAAAAGTTCAAGATTAATAAGCTTTTCATTTCCACTTGGAGCAAGAGGAACTGAACTCGGCATGCTTCAATTTTACAGTAAGACACAGCCCAGGCAAAAAAAAAGTCACGCCCCAAAACCGTCGTTCTGAAAAGTTCCACTCTGCTGAAACACCACACAGTTCTTGGGACTGAGACTACATACGGCACCTTCCCAAGGACAATGACAACATCTACAGACAACGGGATATTGGGCTTTGCTTGCCTTGCTTACCTGCCTTAGTGCTTTGTTTGCTGCACAGTAATTATCCTCATCGTCCATATTAGAAAAATT